TTCTGCTTCACTAGTTCAGTGACCCAAGAGCAAGTCATTTGAGCTCTCTGGTTCCCAGGTTTTTATAGTTCACCCATAAAACAAAGTCTTAGGATTAGATGGCAAAAATAATCATTTATATCCAAGTTCTTACTTTGCAGTTTATAGCATTTCCAAACATATTATCTCCTTTAATCAGAACTTTCAATTCTAGTATTTTAGGAATCTGTAATTTCACCTTAAAGGGTACATGTTTGTTACGTAAAATAAAGCCTTCATTGAAGACATCAGATTATCATGATTCTGCTGAATGACCTGATATCTGCTTTGGAAATAATCTGTCTGTGGAAATTGAATCACCTAAATGCTAAGCGCTGGTATTGGTAAAGAATAATCATGGCTTTATTAATAAATTTCATAATGAGTCTTCTTTATGCTGAACATTTAACATTATAAATTCAGAAGGATGAATTCATGTCTAATCAATTATAAGAATGATAAGCTAAATATAGCATTTACCATATACACTTAATAATTTAAGAATAAAATCTACATTTTACATTTTCTTAGATTTATATATAACTACTTCATTTGAACTACTTCCAAAGGAAATTGTACAAAACATTATTTTCTTTTGAAAACATACAGGTTTACAAAAGATAAACCTTTTTTGTCAGCAAACCTGTGCATTTACGTATATTACTTTGGCCACTAGGGGGAGTCCGCATTGTCACGAATGCCCAAGAAACCCATGAGAATAGGAAACACAGGCTTTATTAGAGGGTTGATAATACATCCATTGTCTACCCAGAAATCGTATGCATGCAAAATGTCATACAAAATAATAAAAATACAAAATAATCGAACTCAGTTTCATCAGGTCCCTTATTTTACAGCCACCCCCCAACGGAAGTTTTCCTATTTTATTTTGCTCTTTAAAAGAAAGTACAACTTTCAAAGGTGATAACTTAAAATGCTTCCTCCAGATAACAGAGATTTAGAATCTGAAGGACCATGAGGGATTCAAGAACATATATTAGGGATAACGTGATCACTTGTTCTCTTAAGTCCATTCTAGTGCTGGTGAGAGAAGTCATATGGAAGTGAGAACCTTCTCTTTCCCCCTCAGGCCCTCCCCACAGAGCAGCAGCTGTGCTGGCATTTTTCATGCTGACCTACTGATATCCATCACCCCTAACCTGCGGGGACTTCCTTGGAGGGTGAGAGGGTAATTGTGTCTCATGTCCGGTCAGTCCTCAGCCCCTCTTCTGAGACCACCAAACACGTGGCTCTGTGTGTGTATTTTCGCTGAGCCGGTTTATAAATGAGGAACTGAGCTGAAACCACCTGCTTACTTCACCTCGGCTCCAGAAAGCAGAGGGAGGGCAGGGGCAGTGTTCCCTTCTCAGCGCGGCTGGTTTTAGTCAGCAGAGTTCAGGTTTTTACAATGTCAGGCTTCCAGCAGGGCCCTTTGGCTTTTGCTTAAATATGCCACCTTACACGTTAGTGACCTTTGATTTGATTTATTCCAGGGTTATTTTGCTTCTCACTATCCGTGTATGCGGAAGGCAGAGGACCCACAACACGAGGGGTAATTGACAATGCAGGTGGTTATCACACATATATATATGTGACGTGAGTTACATTTAACTTACGTTCTCATATTGAGATATAGGTATCTTTTTTATTATATATTTATTGGAGTATAATTGCTTTACAATGGTGTGTTAGTTTCTGCTTTATAACGAAGTGAATCAGCTATACATATACATATATCCCCATATCTCTTCCCTCTTGCGTCTCCCTCCCACCCTCCCTATCCCAGCCCTCTAGGTGGTCACAAAGCACCGAGCTGATCTCCCTGTGCTATGTGGCTGCTTCCCACTAGCTATCTATTTTACGTTTGGTGGTGTATATATGTCCATGCCACTCTCTCACTTTGTCCCAGCTTACCCTTCCCCCTCCCCATATCCTCAAGTCCATTCTGTAGTAGGTCTGTGTCTTTATTCCTGTCTTACCCCTAGGTTCTTCATGACATTTTTTTTTCTTAAATTCCATATATATGTGTTAGCATACGGTATTTGTCTTTCTCTTTCTGACCTACTTCACTCTGTGTGACAGACTCTAGGTCCATCCACCTCACTACAAATAACTCAATTTCATTTCTTTTTATGGTGAGTAACATTCCATTGTATATATGTGCCACATCTTCTCTATCCATTCATCTGATGATGGACACTTAGGTTGCTTCCATGTCCTGGCCATTGTAAATAGAGCTGCAGTGAACATTTTGGAACATGACTCTTTTTGAATTATGGTTTTCTCAGGGTATATGCCCAATAGTGGGATTGCTGGGTCGTATGGTAGTTCTATTTGTAGTTTTTTAAGGAACCTCCATACTGTTCTCCACAGTGGCTGTATCAATTTACATTCCCACCAGCAGTGCAAGAGGGTTCCCTTTTCTCCACACCCTCTCCAGCATTTATTGTTTGTAGATTTTTTGATGATGGCCATTCTGACTGGTATGAGGTGATACCTCATTGTAGTTTTGATTTGCATTTCTCTAATGATTAATGATGTTGAGCATTCTTTCATGTATTTGTTGGCCATCTGTATATCTTCTTTGGAGAAATGTCTATTTAGGTCTTCTGCCCATTTTGGGATTGGGTTGTTTGTTTTTTTGTTATTGAGCTGCATGAGCTGCTTATAAATTTTGGAGATTAATCCTTTGTCAGTTGCTTCATTTGCAAATATTTTCTCCCACTCTGAGGGTTGTCTTTTGGTCTTGTTTATGGTTTCCTTTGCTGTGCAAAAGCTTTGAACTTTCATTAGGTCCCATTTGTTTATTTTTGTTTTTATTTCCGTTTCTCTAGGAGGTGGGTCAAAATGGATCTTGCTGTGATTGATGTCATAGAGTGTTCTGCCTATGTTTTCCTCTAAGAGTTTGATAGGTATCTTTGATATTGTAGGAAATCATTAGATTCCTCTCAACTAAAACCTGACTCAGAAGGGCTGGCGGACTTGCCCAGCACAGTGCTTCTCAAACTCTCTGTGGCGGTGGACACGTTCTTTTATTCCTTTTCCAGTTGGTCGTGGATCAGTACTTCTGTAAAATACAATAAAAATAAATGACCAGAAAAGTGAAATAAAAAGCATTTGAAATACTACCTAATTTTTTATTATTATAGTCATCAGACATAAAACTACTCTGTGAAATTGCTGTGAGAGTTTCTAAACACTTCCCCTCATGTTCTGTGTCTCATTGTGGACCAGCACGGACAACAGTCTGTACATAGGCCTAGTAGCATCCTCGTATTTTTCACTGCATCTCCATACCTTCCTGACAACCCAATCAGAGAACAGGCGGCATTGCCTTTCAAACTAACGTACAACAGCAACTTAACAGAACTCACTTATTCACCCTTATCCAGAGCAAGGGAGGAGTTGGAAGATTTTGCTTCTGAGCTGAATATAGGGTTGGGATAAATAGAAAAGGAGCTGTATTCAAAATTAAAAAGCAGAGTTGATGGCCGTACCAGTTTAATGAAAATAAGGTTTCAAACGTTTGACCCTAAGCATATAATTAAAAGTTTGTTGCAGGTGATATTTTCTAATCAGCTCATACTACAAAAGGTTCAAAATTAAATTATTTTTGTCTTTGAATTTGGGGCAGGAATGAAGCAATTACAGGAAGTCTTCATGTTCATGAAATATTCAATAGGTAAAGAACCTGGAGAGCTTAGTAAAATAGTAGACTTGAACACATTGCCTTATTCTCCCTTTCTTTTTAGTTGCCCTTTTGAAAGAGGGCTGATGGTAATTTTGTCTCCCAAGCCTCAGTGCATATTGAGGAGAGATAACTAAATAAACACGCTGGACTGGGGAGCAAAAGACCCAGTTATCATCTTGTCACTATTTACTAGCCATCTGGCCTTAAGCAGGTCACTTTAGACCTCAGTTTTCTCTTCTTAAGATGGGAAGACTGTTACTGTCTGTCTTCCTCACGGGATTCCTGGGAGGACCAGGTTAATTAGCTAGTGGGCTTAGGAGGCCATCAGGCATGTATGCACACACAAATGTGTGTGTGTGTATATATATGTGTGTATATATGTATGTATATATGTAGGTGTGTGTGGCATTATTCTTCATTTTTCTTAAACATTTATTTTCTTGAACTCTCTTGAAATATACATTCTAAGCTCATTGTTAACCCATTCCATGTATATTTTATGGTCCTTTCTCACCCCACTCCCAGTTCACCCATAACTTTAAGTGTATAATGATTTTTATTCTTGTTTGGGTTTTTTTTTTTGTTTTGGGGTTTTTTTTAATTGAAGTATAGTTTCTGTACAACATTATAATTTACAGGTGTACAATTCTTGTTTTCAAAAGTAGGTGAAAGTATTATTTAAATGCCATCTCTGAGAATTAACCTCCTTGTCCAGTGGTGCTACCTAAGCATTGCTGTGGCCCTAAGCTTGAAGGGCTGGATAAAAGGAAACCCTGCCTCTGAAGGCTCAGGGCCAGCACACACACACGCATGCCCCCCACACACATATACCCACACACACACATGCATGCGGGTACACCCATGCCGGGCCCTTGACACTCCCGCTAGCCACACCCTCAGATTTCTGCATGACAGCACTTTATTGTCATGGTTATGCTCCACAAATGGTCGTAATGGGGCTTCCTTTGGAGAACAGTGATTGCAAATGAGAAGAGAAGGTCATCACCCTGAGAGCAAAGAAGCAGGTGGTCTCAAGGCTGTGACACTTGGCAGAACCTAGATGGGTCTGGACAATTTGAATCTAAATATGAAGTGCTGGGGCTTCCCTGGTGGCGCAGTGGTTGGGGGTCCACCTGCCGATGCAGGGGACGTGGGTTCGTGCCCCGGTCCGGGAAGATCCCACATGCCGCGGAGCGGCTGGGCCCGTGAGCCATGGCCGCTGAGCCTGCGCGTCCGGAGCCTGTGCTCCGCAACGGGAGAGGCCACAACAGTGAGAGGCCCGTGTACCGCAAAAAAAAAAAAAATTAAACAAATAAATAAATATGAAGTGCTGGAAATGGAAAAGCGCTTTTCACCCTAGTAGACTGGAAGGGTCTGCATTAGCCCCTGGAGGAGTAATTTGTGGCTCGAGAACAGGTTAGGAGAATTAGGGACCCTCATTCATTTCTCATCGATCCCTCGATTCACATATTTATTGAGCACCTGTCATGAACCAGCCCCAGTGCTTTGTGCTGCGCAGAGAGGCAGTGAAAAAATAGTCTGGGTCCCTGCTCGTGAAAATTACAGATAATTACAACGCACAGAATGGCTTCAGCAGACTTTCTCCCCTCTTCTGCTCTCTTTGAAGGCGTACGCAGTGTGATAGTCAGAGAAAGTTGTAGAAAAGCAGCTTGAGTTTATTTTTACCTTTCCACGGCTATAGCTGTGATCCACTCAGTCCGCTGTGATGCAGCTTCTGCTCTCTCTGCGCTCCTCTGAGATGTTCTTTGAAATGTCTCTGGCCGGTTTCTGTTGCTGTTACAGACGACTGAGCTAGCAGTATTGAGGGAAGCAGCTGGCAGGCCAGAGCGAGGACCTGGCTCCATCCTCTGCTCCAGGGCCTCGTTCTCGCTGGAGCTGGACCCTTTCAGGGACACAAATACTAGCATGTCACGTTGGTCTTACAAAGGCTGCTTCATGAGAATGGAATCAGGAGCAATGGAAGGTGGATAGTTGGGGCTGTTTGGGGCAAGCACCAATTGTCAGTGTACTGGGTATTCATTTCCATGAGTCTGTCTCCTTAGTGCATCTGTGAATTTCTTTTCTAATAATGTTTTGCCCACAGAGGACACATGGTTAATGCTGATTGGTTTCAGCACTTTGAGATAGAATCTAGATATCAGCACTCTGCACCTTCCAGTATAAACACCTTTGTTAGAAAGTACAGCCCTGCGGGTATTCCCAGAAACTCTGTGATAAGCACGGTATTGAGGAGTTGTGAGTGATGTAGGCCCCCTGATCTAACAGTTATGAAGCAGGAGGCCTGAAACCATGACTTAACTCCTCTGCAGGTGGGAGAGGCTGGGCTGAGGGAGAAATCAGCACCTGTTCGTCCTTGATGCTCTGATGAGCCCAAGGCTGTTGTGCTGGACACACACTTGTTAGTTCCTCAGGCTAACAAGGTTGAGGTGGAAGGTACTTTCTGTGCCATTCCCCTTTCCCTGAATGTGTTCCTTTGTACACTCAGGTTGTCTCAGGCGCTTGGGAGACAGAGGTGAGCAGAAAGTAGCCTATTGCATGTAGACGTGGAAAGGGCTTTGGAGGTCATCCCCATCCCACCTCGGACCACCAGCATCCCCCCACCCCAGCTGCCATCACAACTATGTGCTGGAACTGGTGCCCGTTTTTACCTATGTTGGATGCATGTGCCAGCGGGTTTCCTGCTTTCCTGGTGGTCTGGAACCTTTGACAGTGGACAGGAGGAAAATAGGAGGAGTGAATATTCATTTGGCTTCTCTTCTCCTGTCCTTTATTTCAGAGCTTTAGGGAGAGCTGATATCTCATTTTCTGCTGTGGTCCCCAAGTCAGCTTAACTTCTCTAAACTCTATTACCTAGCTAATGGTTGCATTTGTGTGGATAAATGAGGAAATGTATACTTTTGGGTAAAGAATACAACTTTCAGAAATGTTTACGTCAATTTAGGCTTTCGATGAAGCTATGGATGTTTCTGTAGAATATTTAAATAATACCTAAGCTGTTCACATGACTCTTCTCACTATTGTGGTTAAGCTGCCTCTGCCTCCACCCCTGAACAGCATTTATCCCAGGAGTGGCTCCATCCCGCAGCACTGAACTGTTCATAAAACCAGGAGGGAGGATGGCGTGGCGGGTTCCGTGCAAAGTGGCACATGTGCAGTCCCTTCATACTGTGAGTATTCAGTTCCATTTCTTACTGGAAGGCATAAAACGAATTGCTTATGTGCATGTTTAAACCACAAAAATGTCCTGGCAGAAAGAGAATGCCTGGGGATATTTCTTTCCACAACCCACAGTGGAATGAACAGGAAAAGTAGTTCCAGCTAAAGGAGAAGCATAAGCCTGCCGTGGACAATCTCTTCAGTTTCCAAAATGTATTTTCCACATTCTTTTTTGAATACAAAAAGTCTCAAATATTTCTCCAACCACAGCTCAACGTATATATGTTATTGAAAATGTGTGTTACTCCTTCACATCTGGGAAAGAAAAATTCTTTTGGGGGTGTGTGTGTGTGTCTTTAACCAGTATTTTCGAAGCAGAAAACGGGATTACAGATTACAAGGACCTTAGAATTTCTTGAGTTCAAAGTAGGCTGTGAATAAGAGTGGCTGTCTGTCCACCACCCCACCCCACCCCGCCAAATATACAGCATCTGGGTTAATTCATTACTTTTTTTTTAACATCTTTATTGGAGTATAATTGCTTTACAATGGTGTGTTAGTTTCTGCTTTATAACAAAGTGAATCAGTTATACATATACATATGTCCCCTATCTCTTCCCTCTTGCGGCTCCCTCCCTCCCACCTTCCCTATCCCACCCCTCTAGGTGGTCACAAAGCACCAAGCTGATCTCCCTGTGCTATGTGGCTGCTTCCTACTAGCTAGCTATTTTATATTTGGTAGTGTATATATGTCCATGCCACTCTCTCGCTTTGTCACAGCTTACCCTTCCCCTTCTCCGTGTCCTCAAGTCCATTCTCTAGTAGGTCTGTGTCTTTATTCCTGTCTTACCCCTAGGTTCTTCATGACATTTTTTTGTTCTTAAATTCCATATATATGTGTTAGCATACGGTATTTGTTTTTCTCTTTCTGACTTACTTCACTCTGTATGGCAGACTCTAGATCCATCCACCTCACTACAAATAACTCAATTTTGTTTCTTTTTATGACTGAGTAATATTCCATTGTATATATATGTGCCACATATACATGTGCCACACCTTCTTTATCTATTCATCTGTCCATGGACACTTAGGTTGCTTCCATGTCCTGGCTATTGTAAATGGAGCTGCAATGAACATGGTGGTACATGACTTTAAATCATGGTTTTCTCAGGGTATATGCCCAGTAGTGGGATTGCTGGGTCGTATGGTAATTCTATTTTTGGTTTCTTAAGGAACCTCCATACTGTTCTCCATAGTGGCTGTATCAATTTACCTTCCCACCAACAGTGTAAGAGGGTTCCCTTTTCTCCACACCCTCCCCAGCATTTATTGTTTGTAGATTTTTAGATGATGGCCGTTCTGACCGGTGTGAGGTGATACCTCATTGTAGTTTTGATTTGCGTTTCTCTGATGATTAGTGATGTTGAGCATCCTTTCATGTGTTTGTTGGCAACCTGTATATCTTCTTTGGAGAAATGTCTATTTAGGTCTTCTGCCCATTTTTGGATTGGGTTGTTTGTTTTTTTGATACTGAGCTGCATGAGCTGTTTATAAATTTTGGAGATTAATCCTTTGTCAGTTGCTTCATTTGCAAATATTTTCTCCCATTGTGAGGGTTGTCTTTTCCTCTTGTTTATGGCTTCCTTTGCTGTGCAAAAGCTTTTAAGTTTCATTAGTTCCCATTTGTTTATTTTTGTTTTTATTTCCATTTCTCTAGGAGGTGAGTCAAAAAGGATCTTGCTGTGATTTATGTCATAGAGTGTTCTGCCTACGTTTTCCTCTAAGAGTTTTATAGTGTCTAGCCTTACATTTAGGTATTTAATCCATTTGGAGTTTGTTTTTGTGTTTGGTGTTAGGGAGTGTTCTAATTTCATTCTTTTACGTATAGCTGTTCAGTTTTCCCAGCACCGCTTACTGAAGAGGCTATCTTTTCTCCATTGTATATTCTTGCCTCCTTTATCAAAAATAAGGTGACCATATGTGCGTGGGTTTATCTCTGGGCTTTCTATCCTGTTCCACTGATCTATATTTCTGTTTTGGGGCCAGTATCATACTCTCTTGATTACTGTAGCTTTGTAGTATAGTCTGAAGTCAGGGAGCTCATTTTTCTTTCTCAAGATTGCTTTGGCTATTCGGGGTCTTTTGTGTTTCCATACAAGTTGTGAAATTTTTTGTTCTAGTTCTGTGAAAAATGCCATTGGTAGTTTGATAGGGATTGCATTGAATCTGTAATTGCTTTGGGTAGTAGAGTCATTTTCACAATGTTGATTCTTCCAATCCAAGAACATGGTATATCTCTCCATCTGTTTGTATCATCTTTAATTTCTTTCATCAGTGTCAGTCTGTTACTTTTTAAATAGAGCATTTTATCATAAAGATGGGAAACTTGATAGCGTCAAATAGTTGGTTTTATTTTCCAGAATATGTAGAGTTGGGCCATTCTTTTAGAGTTAGAAAAAAAGGGTATTACATCACAGTGTATTTCTTCTTATTTATGAAGAGAATATATATTTAATGTCATAAGTACACAGCTAAAATGTATTTGAGGCATTTTCCAGAGTGGAGATACCGCTTGAAACCCAGAATAAGATAATTTTTTTGCTGGACTGTTAGCCAATTTGGAGTTGTGTGTAATCAATACAGACAATGGATAGTTCAACACGGACTGATTTAATTAATAAATAATAGTGCAGAAAGGGGAAAGTACAATATTACGCTTTTTACGATTTGGGGGATACTAATGTCTCTGGATATATGTCCGCAAGTGTCAGTATAGAAGACAAGTCCTTGTGGTTCCTGTCAAGAAAGTAGGGGCAATGTGTGTGGGTGCGTCGTGAAGGAATTCAGTTACTAATATGTCTAAGAAAAGCCTAGAAATAAAATTGAATTTACCATTCACTTATGAGTATTTTGAATTTATATAAGTGTTTACTTCATTATTTCTTTAAATAACGAGTACCAGGAAGACGTTATAAATATAACTTATATTTTAAAGTTTGATGTTCATACATATTATAAGGCATTTATCTCAAAAAAGTGTGTAATATATTTGGAGACAAATAAGAATACTTTTAAAGGTAAAAGCATTTGCACAGCTATTTTATAAAACCAAGTTGATACTAGGAAAGAAATGAAAGGCTGTTTAAACTTAATGACAAACGTCTCAAAATCTATTTTTAAGTCAACAGCTTTTTAGCACCCAGTGCCTAGAAAACCAGAACCCCAGAAACTTGCACTTCAGCAAAAGTTGGACTCCTGAGAACTTCCTGGGAGTTTTGCATTTTATTGTAAAATGAAGTGTAACTCGTCGTAGGTCATAGGTGTGTCTTTTTCATTCAGTGTATCCTCAGCATCCAGCGTTATGTCTGACATGTAGTCTATATGTAATCAATGTTTATCGCTAAATAAATGGGTGAATTTAAAAAAAAAAAAGGAAGGGAGGAAGGAAAGAAAGGTCCTAGAAAATGGAAAAGCTTCACAAAAAGCTAGTTTTCAATGCTTTTTACATATTAATTGTAGCCATGATAGCCCCTATCTCTAAAGCTTTGCTTGGGGAGGTGCCAGAGGAGGGGCAGGGAGTGCTCTTGCAGGAGCTGCCATGCCACTGTCACAGGTACCGTGATCCAGCTTGAATCTGGGGTTTTATGTGCAGGCATCTATGTTATCACCATGGCTGTCACTGAGTCGGGAAATGAGTTTTATGCTGATGATAGGAGCTGAGAGCATAGGAACAACGGCTGAGTATAATTATTTGGTACTAAATGCACTTGTCTGTGTTGTGATATAGGATGAGGGAACTCTGCAAACCCAGGAGATGGCTGGGAAGGGCAGCGTGACCTGCAGGGTGCCCTGTCTCCGTCCCCTGTGCTAGCAGCTTTAGTGAGCTCATACTGAAGAGAATCTTACAGGCAACCTAGGGTAAATCCACTGGGATGCAAGAGAGAGATTTTTATCTAGGGAAAAGACCTGCAATGAACGAGTGTGGCTTTTATTATTTATTACTCCGTTCCACAGTGTTGAAAGCAGGTGGAGCTGTTTTCCCAGCTATACAGAGTGAAAATGGACACATGAAAAATACTTGAAGAAACTTTGAATTATCCAAGGACTAATTTTTTTAAAGAAAAATTTACATTTGTCGAGCATCTGTTATGTGCCACATAACCTTTAGATGCTATCGAATTTTTTGGGGGGGTGCGTTTATTTTTTTTTAATTGAGATATAATTTACACACTGTAACATTCACATTTTAAAAGTGTACAGTTTTCAGTATATTCACAAGGCTGTGCAACCATCACCACTGCCTGATTCTGGAACATTTTCATTACCTCCAAAAAAGAGCTTGTTAGCTACTCCCCATTCTTCTCTCCCCTCATCCCTAGGTGATCACTAATCTATTTTCTGTCTCTACGGATTTGCCTGTTCTGGAAACTTTGCCTCGTACAGTACATGGCCTTTTGTGTCCGGCTTCTTTCGCTTAGCATAATGTTTTCAAGGTCCATCCGTATCTTGGCGTATAACTGTACTTCATTCCTTTTTTATGGCGGAATAATTAATAATATGAACAGTGGAATAATATCCCATTGTGTGGATATACCATATCTGTGTATCCATTCATCAGTTGATAGACATTTGGATTCCACTTTCTGGCGATTATCAATAATGCTGATATGACCATTTGTGTGCAGGTTTTTGTGTGGATCTATGTTTTTGTTTCCCGTGGTGGTACCTAGGAGTGGAACTGCTGGGTCATATGATAACTCTGTGTTTAACTTTTTGAGGACCTGCCAGGCTATTTCCCACAGTGGTTGTACATTTTACAGGCATTTTAGTTAAGTGTGAGGTGGCATCTCATTGTGGTTTCGATTTGCATTTCTCTAATGACCAGTGATGTTGAGCATCTTTTCATGTGCTTATTTTCCTGTGTGAATATCTTTTTTAGAGAAATGTCTGGGAAGTAGAGTTGTTTGGTATTATTATGCATTTCTGAATTATTCAGGAGACAAAAATT